CCCACTCTCTCTCTGCCGCTGTCATTCTCACGATGCCTTTCTCCATTGTGCTGTTGCTGACTACATGCGAGGAAGGTGGCTGCAGGAGCAGGTCCGGCGAGCGAGGGCCGAAGTCGTCAGCGCCAGCAAAGTCGAGCCCATCGAATCCGTCGACGTGAGCAGCTCCCTCTTGCTTGCTTTTTTTACCGTCTGCAGGTGGTTGTATTGTTTGGCATGAGCCTTGGGCGCTATTGGTGGTGGGGGTGCTACTGCTGTTGTACCAGCGTCCACGTAGTTGTGAGTTTAGGTGAGTTTAGCTGGGGCCTTGCATTGGCGTTGGTGCAGCTCTCATCTGAGCTTGTCCTGCCCGGTCTTTCCCACGTGTTCATCGTGCTTGCCTTTCCCCCATCCGCAGGCGTGGATTCTTGTGTTCGAGTCGATGTCGGACTCAAGGGAGCGACTATCGACGCTGGCACACCTGTGGAACCAGTGCGAAATGCCGGATAGGTGAATGAAAACACCCCCGTATTTTTCGTGTGTTTTCACGCCATCTGTGCTGGGCACCAGTTTGCACTTTCTGAATTTGTTTGACGCACCAGCAGGAGTCAAACAGGAAGGAGGTAAAACACAGGGTTTCTCTCTCTCTCTCTCTCTCTCCGCGGTTCCTCCTGCGGTTCTTGGCCTTTGCTTGTCCATGCCCTCTTTGTTGTGTGTACTCACTAACATGCGCTTTCCACTTACAAACCGCACTTGTTTACCCTGGAGAGTCTCGAAGTGGCAACATAGGGTCAGAAGGGTTGCCACGTTGCCAACTGAACTACCGGGGCGATCGGTGGGTGCTGGCTTTTATTTGATGCCTGTAGCCTGCTTGCTGTGTTGTAGACACACACGACTCTTTTGGCATCCGCCTGCCATCCGGCTCTCTTGGGACAAGTACCGAAGCAAGCAAGAGGTCGATCACTCACCTGGTATCGGGATCTTGTGTCACGGCACGAGATTGTGTGTGCTCCTCGAGTTTGGCTGGCCCATGCCCGCGCTTGGTTATGCGCTTCAAACGGCTGACATTTGCCGGAGACGACCGGCGTTAAACGAAACAAGTGCTAGCTGTCCTGCTGCGGCAAAATACATGAGCTGCCCAAATATTGCTTTTGGGAGTGGTTGAAGCGCATGGGCGTAAAATGCGGGGATTTTTCCAGACATGCATCGCAGCGACTAACCCTCTTTCCTCTCCCCCCTGTGGTACGTGCCTCCCCCCCCCCCCCCGCCCCCCCTTTGGGCGTACGCCACCTCGACCAACTGCGGACGCAGGCACGAGATCTTCGGGCAGTTTCTGTCACTGATCGCGGGCGCGGGCACTCAGCACACGGGGGTCAAGCCCGAGGATTTCACGGAGGACATGATGGTGTCGCTGCCGATGGACAACTACGAGGACCTGAAGGCAAGTCAGAGAGAGATCATGCGGCTGGTTGACTGCTAAGGCTCGGGTTGTCGGGGTTTGCTTTATTTCCATCATGAGTGGCAGTCGGACAATCCAATAAATCGGAGGTGGCGTGTTGATGCCGCCCTAGATGTGCGTTCACGACCGAAGCTCAAATGTAGGTCAGCAGAATCTGGTCGGGTCCTGGCGTTCGCCTATTTTATGCACATCAGGAAATATGTTATGAGAGTGATCCACCTCAATGCTGCTCCGTGCTCAAAGCTGTCTACCGCATCCATCGACTTGCGCAACCCGATTCCTACTGCTGAAGGCGCCACCTCACTTTCCCAAAACTTTTTCACCGTCAATTTCACCCGCTCCTTCTTTGGCTCTGCTGAAGAAATATTGTCTTTTGTTTTTATCGACGAGAGATCCGTCGTGCCCCCAAAGGCGAAGCGTTTTATCCAAGGGACAAAAGGAAACCACGTTTTCGAATTGTGTTGCACGAAGCTGGCCGCTGTGCGCAGAACCCTCCGATGGTGACAAGCATTTTTGCTGCGTGGAGGACGACGCTGTAAGCGAGTAGGCTGAGAGGCACGATCAAATGGTGCGCATTTAGCGTTTTTTTGCCCCGGCTTTCCGGCTTCCGGTCGCCCTCGGTGGCCCCCTTGGCTTTCGTGTTTCACCCACCCCGTGCCCCTGCGATGCATCTGCCGTCCTGCGTGCCTGTTCACGAAACGACCGCTGATTGGCTGGGGGAAAACTTGGACCGCAACAACAGCCGGTAGACACGTGGATGGCGTTTTTCAGGGGGCTGGCCCGCGAGGAGAAGGTGCAAGGCTTCAAGCGCATGTGAGCAGGAGTTGCGGTGTGCGCGCACGCACCACGTGTGTGTGTGTGTGTGTGTGTGTGTGTGTTTTCCTGCACCAGTCGCCGTGCTGGGAGTGTTTTGCTGTGCTGCACGCTGCTTTCTCGAGCTCCGTACGCGCCAGCGCAAGTGTTTTCCGTTGCGCTGTACCATCTCTGCGGTGGTGCTCAAGTACGATCAATTCTCTAGGTCTGGGTGCTGCCTGCGCCTGCTCTAGACAATCCTATCGCACACGCTATTTAGGTGTAGTCGACTTTACTCACGCCCGCGCCGGGCTGGCGTTGCCGTGCCCGTTCCAATCTTAGTCTTTGTGCGTGTGCTTTTTTCTCGTGCTGTTTTGGTCGTGTGTGCAGGTGGGAGTCCACGGAGGACAAGGAGAAGAACGTGATCGTCAACGACCTGCGGCATTTTTTCCTCGAGGTGGGCGCTTCTTTGCATGCCTCGCGCGGCTTGTGCGCCCGCCAAGAATTGCGCGTATGCCCCTCGTGTGTGGGTTGTTACAGAACACGCCCGCAGTTGAGGAGTCAGGAGTTCAGAAATTGAGAAAATAATCTAAGAGCTTGAGCACTAGTTGTGAGCTCGGTGAAGAAACCCTACACTAAAGCCTACATAGCGGCCATTCGTAGCATGAACCGAGGAACCTCGGTCAAAACTAGAGGTTCTCAAGTGTGGGCGCGTTCTGTACATCATACCTCACGATGTGAGTTTCGCGTTCTGTGCATCATACCTCACGATGTGAGTTTTTTTTTGGGCCTAGTTTTGTGAGGCCGTATCCTCGTTTCCGTTCGCAAGCACGACGAATGTCGCGTAGATAGTGTTATGCATACGACAAGTGGCGGAGGCTACCTATGACTCAGGCTACCCCCCCCTCCCCCCACGAAAGGAACACTACACCAAAGTCCGTGCACCTCCGCCCCTCACCTCAACGTTATTGCATCCGTTGCCTGGCGTTCCGCGCCGCAATACCTCGCAGCCGTTGATAAACGGAGGTTTGTCTCAAGCGGAGGAGGATGATGATGACGACTCGGCCGAAGAGGGAGAGGGGGTGGCGGCGGTGGCGGCGGCGGCCGCCGAGTTGGAGGAAGGGGCGAAGGTGACTAGCGACGTGGGATTGGCCGTACCAGCTCCAGGGACGGGTGGGGCGGTAGGCAGCAGCGAGCGGCAAGACTGAACCTCCGCGTGCGACTGAAGGGGATACGCCGGTGCGGTAAAGAACAGCTCAACATCACTGCTGTTTGGCCGTACTGTAGAGACCGGCGTTTGTTACCGGCACTTCGGAGAGACAAGGGCCCGTTGTGTTGTAGCTGGAGCGTTGCTGGTGAGGCGAGATATACTGGCGGCATAGGAGTGTACTGCGAGTGTTTTCTGCTTTTATTCAGCCTAAACTGTGGCGGGCGCCCGCAAATTGTGTCGGGGCAATGTACTGTTTCTACCTCTGCGGGCAGTTGGGAAAGGGCAAGTCCCTATGTAGGTTTGTCAGAAAGCTCTGTTTTCAGTTGAGTTTGGGAGCCGTTCATCAGCATGCGAAGTCCAGCAAGTGCTTCGACGGTTGTCTCGGAGTGATTCTTTGATTGGACAAGGTTAGGTCTGGTGCTGGGCAACGTATGCATACTGCTGCCTTCATTTTGTACTTCGAAGTAGTTTTTTTGTGTGAGCGCGGCTCCTGAGTGAGGAACAAACACACACGTGTTGTACGAGTCCAGCTGGAGCAGGTCGCACTTTGTGTGAAGCTGGCGGAGTATGCGTTTTAGTCACTGGCAGGCCAAAGCCTGTGCATGCCCTAGGTTTGACGTTTATACATTTCAGTGTTGTGTCGCGTTGTTTGCATTTATTTTGTGGAAGTTGTAGGTCTGTTTCAGTTGGACATGCCCCCCTCCACTTCTTCCAGGGGGGGGGGTTCGTGGTTGCCTAATTTATTACGGTGGTTCGTGAGGCCTTGCGCGGCGTAAGACAATAGTCAGTGCATGTTTTTTTTTTTTAATTCTGCCGATGCGATCATACACGTGTGGTCTGGTCTGGGATATATGGGAAAATGTCTCCTATTACTATGCATTGTATACAGGTCCTAGGTAGATATCAACTCACGGATGACATCGACCGTTAATCATGGATGTGCGACGTAGACAAACACAAGCGCTCGATGTGAACGAGGACTCCCGGGTGAATAACAACGGTGGGCTAAAATTGTGACAGAAAACTCGAACGATTACTGAACGCTGTAGTCAATATACAGTACTACCACCGTAAGTATGCGGGTCTTAGCGCGGATCGGCGAACACCGCACGGATCCGAGTCCTCGCACGGGGTGTGCGTTACAAAACATATTTGTTTTTTGGACCAAGCTTTCAACTCGTTTACCGCTTGCGCGCACAGGAATGTATCGGGTTCTTGGCACGTATCGGCGTCTTGGCACCCCTGTGCGATGAAAATCTGAGAACGAAAGCATTTCAAGAGAGACGACCGCACAGCACCTGCGCCAAGACCCGCACATACTTTACGGGGAGTCTACTGCTGTAGGGATCAGCAGACACACTGCTCATAATGCATAGTAGCCTGCAGACGATTTTGTCAATTGATTTTTCCCTCAAGACGCATAGTCTAATTATTTTTTGCGATTTGCGGGAAAAAAGCAAGACGCACAGATCAGGCACGTGTTGCCTGCCCAACACGTGTGTGTGTTAGGTGGGTGCGGTGCACCACGGCTGTTGCTAAAACAATATGTTACTGGTTGGGGGGTCCGTGGATGACATGTTGCCGAGCGGGGGGCACCGTCGGATGGTGTGACAGGAGAGGAGACTGACAGCTCGTTTTTTTCCATATACCTTTGGACAGCTCCATGAGCACAGGACACACCAACACACTCTGTGTACCTGCCGTCGGAACTCGAGGCGACCCTTTTGGACGGAGAAGAGCTGAGGTGGAAGTCTGCATCTTTTCCGGCCCATCCCAAGCTGATCCAAGACCTTCCTTGCAGTGCCACCCACAGGTGCGGGTATCGTACATGGCATCCACACTGGCTAGATTTTGCTGAGCCCTCTTCGCGTTATTTAGATCAAAGACGAAGGCGTGCACCGCAGGAGAAAAAGTGATGAGTTCTTCCTGTGCTGAATGGTGCGTCAAACAGTAACCGAGAAAGTGTTGTAGACTGGCGACCAGAACAGCAGATGGGACCAAATTCTCAAGAAGAAATTGCACATGCCTGTCCGCATATGCACGTGACATCGGCGGGTTGTCACAAATACATGACGTCATCGGATTTGGCCGTGTAGTCTAGGTCACCACGCCGAGGGGAAGCGACAACCCAAGATCGAGATGATGATAGTCGGCGTTAAGATTACTGTATTTCCGACATAATATTGTGTGTCAGAGAGACTGAAGGCAGTTAATTAGACGCACCCGAGACATACATGCGCCCAAAACACGCAACACAAGCACGTCGTATGCATATAAGGTACTACGGATCTATGAGACGGTTGTCTCCAGGTTCGCGTGTGAGCAAGTTCCCGTTGGGATGTGTGGTGGGGATACACACCGGTTCAACCTCTGGTGAAGAGGCTGACGAGTACGGATAGTTGTGTTGTGAGTCAAGGAACCTTGTGTTGAAGCCAAAAGGTTCAGCATCCATCCGACACTGACTCTATCTGTGGCAACACCCCGAAGGTAGATCTTCAACAGGTCATCTGACGTCACAATCTACTACAGCAGTCTGAGGTGGCATTCACAGCACCCCCCTATCTTCAATCACGGGGCCTGAATCCGGATTGAAAGATACAAGAATGACATAAATAACCCAGAGTGTATGGAATTGTGAAGTCCTGATGAAAAACACGAGTTAAATGACTTGGGCCGTAACGTACGGCGACTGCCATCATTCAACGAATGCTCTGTGTTTTGTAGTCATAAAATTTGGAACGTGTCACCAAAATATCTCATCCGAGCATCGATCGTACATATTATGCACTATATAATAGTGCAGTCACAACCACAGTTTGCACGAGAGCAATTCAGGAATTTTGGCAACTATTCCCGTACGACGAACGAATAACTACACAGATGACGAAAGGTGTACGGAACATGTCACTTCAGTCCGCCTCGGCGCTGTAGGTAACATGTGATCTACCGTACAAACGAACGACGGGTGTACAGAAAAAAACATCACTTCGGTGCGCGTCTTGCCCCGATAGTGTAAAAAAACTGTACAAGTAGTACCTTGAGACAACGCCGTGAACTATTTTGTAGTTGCACGTAACGAACATCCAGCAACGAAAAATAATTTGGCATTGCACCTGTGAAAAACGATTGCTTGCAAGGCTTAAAGTTCACAAGTGTCGAATGGCAAATGACGTGGGTCGACCCGCTGGGAAACGTTGCTCAAACGATATGCAGCTGCAACAACGAACGAACATATGTGCACAGCTCATGGAGAGCTAACGATACGACCTTCTCATGCGATTACGCAAATGAGAGGCGCTGCATAGACGAACGACGACGAATGGTGATTACGAGTACAGCAAACGATATGCTGTAGCATGGATTTGACGCAGTAGTGGGACGAAGGTCTGGTCCTCTTGTGCTTCCTCTTGCACGGCCAAGACACCCATCTACTCTTTCGCAGTGTACGACACGCGAGAAACGATGTGCGGTTAACGAAGGGCGTACGGAGCATGTCACTGCAATCAGCTTCAGCGCTGTAGACAACATGTGATCTACCGTACGGACGAACGACACGGAATAAAAATCCACCGCACGAAACGACTAGACAAAATCGGGCATGAACAAAACCGTGTGAACAATGCAAAAGTGCATGGATCCAGAAGTCGATTATCAATTGCAGTTCCCCCAAACTGCAAGTGAGACGATATCACCCCCCAAGTTAATGACGGAGTGGACGATAAAAAACGACGAACTTCCGATCCCGCATATTCGCTCACATGAAGTATCAACTGACCCCATACGACGCACTCGTATCTCAAGGACAGCGACACAACGGCAATGGACGCTTCACACCACACACGATTGTCTAAAAACGGACGCACGTTCCAATCATAAATAATTGAAAACGCTGACGGAGCTCGTACGAGGTACTATAATAGTTCGTTGCATTCAAACAGAGAAATATATGAAAAATAAATAAATCACACAACGAACGGGCAACGCCATGCCTTAAAAATGACGTGCGCTAGCATGCATGTCCAACGAAACGAAGACACGCAACCATGCTTGGTTCGCGGAGGGCGAATCTCGACGCGAACTAGGCTCCACCTGCCGACTTCCACGAGGTGTTGCATCCAACGTGGGTGTATCCACCAACCACGACAATGTCCGGCCGGACTGCGAAGGAACGTTGGGGACGGCGGGCACTACGAAACGATCGTGCTGGACAACGAACAATAACATATATGTACATCTAAAAATAAATAAATAAAATAAAATAAACGAAAACGTAGCCCTTGGAAAATAAACGAAACACGAAACGAATAAGGCAAAACACAGCACGAGACACGATACGAAGCAGCCAGGACGCTACTTCCTGGGAGAATGATCAAAGGCGTGCGGATTATCACGAAGAACGCACGCTCGATATGAACGGATCATCTCATGACACTGGGGTACTTCTTTGAAGTGCTTCCAACACCCAAGACTCGCAGGACGGTCTTTGAGGAGGAAATAATATTGGAAGTTGTGGAGAGACGGTTTTCCTGCTCCACGTTTAAATTTGTCTATCCCCTCGACGACGTACGATCCAATTTTTACGGTAAACACGGTACCATCCAAATCGGGAATTGGAAGTGTTTGTCCCAAAAACATCTCATCCAAGTCAGAAAAATCGGGGACAGAATCCCGTTGAAAAGCATAGTACTTTTTCATACGACCCAAGTGTACTGACGTTTCCGCGAGTTCTCCGTCTTTGCAAACACGATATATGACGGGTGACACTTTTGAACGAACGGTGAATGGGCCATGCCAAGGGCTGATCAGCTTGTGATTAGGGCCATCAATAACGGTATGGGGACGATGTACGAGAACTTGTTCCCCAGGAGTGAACTGCGGTACGGATAATTTTTCGTTCGAGTCTGCTTGCTTCAGTTCGCTCTTTGGCATTCACAGCACCCCCCTATCTTCAATCACGGGGCCTGAATCCGGATTGAAAGATACAAGAATGACCTGTCGGAGATCTACCTTCGGGGTGTTGCCACAGATAGAGTCAGTGTCGGATGGATGCTGAACCTTGCTTCAACACAAGGTTGCTCCCCCCTTGACTCACAACACAACTATCCGTACTCGTCAGCCTCTCCACCAGAGGTTGAACCGGTGTGTATCCACACCACACATCCCAACGGGAACTTGCTCACACGCGAACCTGGAGACAACCGTCTCATAGTGGCGTCAGCGGCGTTACGTGTGTCAGAAAGTACCTGTATGTCTACGATTTCCCAGACAGCATATAGCATATAGGGACATATCCCCTGCGGGTAACAGGCTCAACAAGACAGTTTGGTAGCTGTCTTTTGTGTCTCATATATGTTATGACACTATG